AAGTGCGGCCTAATCTCCGTTGGGCTTATCCGTAAGGGATAGAGGGTTACCCCCTCGCACGCGCGCGGGGTTTTGGCCGGGTGCTCCGTTTTCCGCTACTTATAAAAACACTCACATATCGGCCGAAAACACCTTAACACACACAGCCTCCGGTATTTGCGGATCGCGCAGCTGCATAAACGATGCAGTTGCATGAATGAGGACACTGTATAACTAAACATTAAGAGGCGCATGCAAGTCGAGTCCAATCTCGCAACGTTGCTTAATTTATAGCGCGAGCAATCGGATTCCGAGTGCACCGTAAGCTGGCTTGCGTGTGCAATATCCACCACCTTCCGCAACCACGGCGGCCGTCAGTCCGCTAGACACGGCTGCGTCATCGCGCCTGCCGAGGCTGCTTCAGCGCCCGCTAAAGCTGGACAGCGCCCCGTTTGTTTGTTTGTTTGAATGTGGCAATAGAATTACACGGGGCCACAGCGTCAATGCGTCGGTGTCACACCGCTCCGTGGACGCGCTCGGCAAGCGTGAGCGAACGTGCGGCTCACGACTGCTGCTGCTCACACGGCCGCCGCATTACGGCTGCTCGGAAATTTGCACGTCCCCCTTTTGCGTGGCCTCGACATCGCTTCCACGAACGAGCAAAACAACATTGGCGTCACCTTAGTGCAATCGCACTGCTGTACTGCCTGCAATGGGCGCCATGGTGGCTAGGAGATATTAACTGCCTCGCCTGGTATACAGGATGTCGTGGTTTCGATCCCGACCCTGACGCCTACTGCTGTATATTTGGAGTTTGCATGTTCTCTCCCCGCGGTCGTGTGGATTTTTCCCGGGGTTTCCCTCCGCAGTTAGAATCGACGTGCGTTTAGAGTATTTGGCTGATATAAATGTCCACATGATGAGCCACTTCATTGGGCTATTATTTGTGGATATGTCGCTTCTGAGAAAAACTGCTATATAGTTCAGTGGGCCTTGCTTGGTATAAAAAAAAACCTGTTTAGTTTCGTTTTCAGTTTCAAGGGACCCGTTGTGTCACGGTGGAGGCAGAGGGCTCTTGTCTGTAGGATTGTACGGGGGGGGGGGGGGGGTGCTCTATTGTGTCCCCTGTACCAGTGTCCATGAAGGACAACTTTGTTATGAGATAGTAAACAGTACATTGATGTAATTTAGGTAGCCCGCAAGCATCGCTCATCCTATGTAGGCTTTAGTTTAAGCATCTCCATAGTAGTAGCAGACGGAGATATTTGAACCGGAAATAAAAGCTCGTTGAGATCACATTCGCCTATGGAAGGGAGACCCGATTAAATAATTATGATAAATGATTATTGTAATAAATAAACTAGTCGTCGTTTACTGGGGCACGTGGGCCAGTCACGACATGCACCTGTACCACTATATTCCGGTCTGAATGATGCGCTCCATTCACACGTGGAGATGCACCACCTGGCCGAATCACCCGGCATGCTCTCGATATCGCCTGAAGCTCGGAAGATGAGCAGAGATGAGCTGGCATAATTGCTTCGATGGGTGTTCCCCATGCACACCAGGTTGCTATAGTCTGCGAGGCTACTCAGTGGGCAACAGATGGCAATGCAGAAACGTCTACTGTTGTACTGCACGTCTATTGCTCCCACGTCCATGCTGCCCGATCTCACTGGCCCTCGCTCACCTCCACGACCTGCACGCGTGGGCAGGCCCCTCGTTGAACATTGGATTGACGAAAATAAAATTTGGACAGAGACTGTGAAGGGCTTCCCCTATGTTGACTCAGCCTCAAGTGAGTATCCGGCGCGGTGTGTGAACATCGCCACTTTGGAGATAAAAGCGGCTGGGCGTGGTGCTGGCCACCCACTTTCTAATGTGTCGCGTTACGCTTATACAGTGCTCGCGAACAGCACTTGCCCCAACAGTCTGGTAAAGGCTATACGGGGGGGGGAGGGTGGGGGGTCTTTGGTACACAAACCCACATGTGGTTTTATGATTGTGCGGCTGATTGAAATCGTCACTATATCATTCCTTCACTATACGGCCGCTACCTGCAACTCGCCTTGAACCCTGCCCATGCCACTGTAGGTGCACGTTGCAAGGAAGCAGCAGAGAAACGCGTGACTTCAACGGACTGTAACATGGGTTCTGGTAGACTGTCGACTCCTAGAGGAGCCGTGGGTGGCGGGCAGGACCGAGCCAGGGCTATCGACTGGGCCATGTCACTGTCATCATGTGCCCGATGCTGCATGGGAGTACACTGTGGTGGCATCACACAACAAGAAGGATATCATGGCCTGGCTTAAACACGGCTACAGCACACGATACGTGGGAAGATCATATTATTTGGGTCTTTAGGTAAAGTCAAGTGACTTTACCGAAAGACCCAAATAATATGAATTTCTGCGGTCACGAAAGCTCTAAGTCAAGATTTCACGTGGGATGTTGTTGCTTGTATGTACACGCACGTCCGTAATTGAGCCGTGCATATTGGATGTCATAGAATGCACTTGCACGGACGGATCTAGAACAACACGGTCAGTGTGCGCACAGCGGAGGTGCATGCTCACACACACCGCGCAACGTCTTACCCCTCCATTAATGCCACGACGCACGTGTTTAAAAAAAAAATAAGCATTGCCCAACGGCCAACTCGCCCCGAATGCGTCCGATTTCGCCAGATCTCGGAAGCTAAGCAAGACTTGAGCCTGGTTAGTACCGTGGATAGGAGACTGGCTGCATTGGGGGTAACTGACATGCGCGTTTTGCTGACTTGGGCTGCGAGGTGGTCAGCAAATGGCAGCACAGTAATGGATTATTGAATACATCCGTGCGGAGCTTTGCGCACAGCTTTTTGTGTTTGCTTAATTTACCTACAATTTGCTGCTGATTGCTAAAACGCTCGCGTACGTAACTGGCCAAAACACCGCCTTGCAGGACCCTCCTGAAGCAGGTCTTGAGACTCGGTGAGGCGATCTCGAGTATATAAAGAACATGGATATGAATGTATTATTATTTAACGCTCTAGATACAAAATAAACATCCCTGCTCTATAAAAAGCAATATCCGGAGATGAAGCCACCCGTTTGTTGTTGTTCAAATGTAACACCGAGTCCAGGGGCTCCTTGAGTCGCACCGATGTACCCTGAGACGCGATGGAAATCGATGGTTCACGCGTGTGCCTGATTGCCCACAGCCTGGCAACAAACCCCCTCGTGTGAACGGCTCGGGATGGCCGAAGCTTCGTGTCCCATCAAACGCCGCAGCAATCCCTGCAGTCTTTGTCCGAGCACGTGGAGCCGGCGGAGATTGAATAAAATTGTGTGCGACCGCGCAGTTTCTCCCGAGCGGTCATCCCCGGCGCCTGGGCTCTTGTTGGGTGGAGATGCTGGCGAGGAAACTGCGCCGTGGCCAGGCGCGAACGCGTCCTCCTTTCGTGGTTTCCTGATTGATCGATCGATGCGCTTTATTGGGTCAGGTGAGAGACTCCATTGAGATTCATTATCGCTCTTGCAATGAAGAGCGGTGACCCGTGGCTAGGGTTAGAAGTATGCTTTGATTTTTTATTATTATTTTTTTATTTCGGGTGAACTGAAAATTTGCGATTTTGGAAGTGTTACCACTGTCTGGACAGTTGGATCGATCTGACGATCGATGACGTCGATGTGACTTTAACGTGCCTTGTGCACTTTTGGTAATTCCTCGCAGAAATTAACGTGGTCGTGGTGGGTGGGTGGATGGAATCGAACCATGCTGTCCGTGCTAAGTGGCTCAAGCGAGCGAGCGAGATGGAGCGCTGACTGTGAGAGTTACCCCTTGAATGTAAATGGTTTCACTGCGTGGACATTTTTTTGGTAATAAATTGCCTCCTCTACTCCGTAGATTCATGTCGTACAGCTGTATAGCTCGAGTCCGCCTGATTGAGAGTTCTCCTCCCAGCTATAATCTTGCGAGACGCTCTCAAAATGCAGCCACATTACCTGTAATGATTCAGGTTATATAGGGATACGCCAACGTTCCAGTGAGGCTATATACTACGCAAACATTCAGATTGACTGCCTGGATATGTCAGACGGGCTGCCCCGACAATTAAGGCAGTAACCCGTGTAAATTGACTAAGAATAACAACAGAGAAGTCTTTTTTTTTTAAAATTGGTCCTCAACTGCCCGTATCTTTTTTTTTTGTTAGAGTGCAATGTTCACCGCTGCTTCCCCGTCGCAATGTTCTCGCCAGCAGCAATTCGCTGTTCAGTAAATGTTCGGCCAGAGAACGCTCGCGATTGTAGATTCGGTGAGTCCTGAGTTTGTTGTTGTTGTTGTTGCGTTGATCAGAACCACGCTGGTTTGCATAGCGCTGACCCGCGTCACTTCTGAACGCGCTCGCGGAATTAATTCAAGTGGTTACAGACGTTGCGGAAAAATCTGACACCTCCCTAAGAAATTATAATTGTCTAATCATCAAGCGATAACCTGTTCTCTGTCCGATTTTTAGGCGCAGGTTCTCAATTCACAACGAATTCCACGTCCAACAAATTGTACAGATCATATATATGAACATAGTTTAAAAGGGCGCCTCGCAAGATATTAGAAATGGTCATTTGAATAATAAACCAGGAAAAGCTTCACGCGGAAATTCCATGAATAAATGCGTGGCTTGATGCGGGAGACAACCCGAACACCCGGATTAAACGTAGGAATACGACAGTGCAATATTGAAAAGCTCAGCACAGATGGATTCAAGTATCTACTGCCTACACCGTAGGCCACATCACAGCCCAACATCGCAACACCAAGCATTCCATTGCAGTCACCCATCCAAGTAGTAACCAGGCTCAACCCATGTTTATATTTAAAGCATACGGCGAAATCTGGCGCATTCATTCAGGCTGCCAATATTATAGGGTATGGTCAAAAACAAACGCAACGCACACGCACGATGTTCACGAATGCGCAAAGGTGCTCAGCGACAATAATTAAAAGCAGCGCTTCGCCTTCGGGGAGACCTCCGCCCTTACCGTTAAATGTGCGCAAAGAGCCACGAGCCGAGACGCGATATTCCACGGGAGCGAGACGCCTGCACACCCATGTCGGCATCGCGGTATCCGTGTGACCGTGAGAGCGGCACAAAGAAGGAAGAGAAACCCACGCTAATGCTCCCCTTTTGGTTTTGGGAGAGGTTCCCCCCTCCTCCCCTCCCCGTCCGTCTTTATCTTCCTCTCGGAGCGGACTTGAGACGGACGCCTTCACAGCGGCAGTATCGGCAGCGGGAGCAGCTGTGGACGAACGGTCGCGATGCTCACACGGTACTGACGCCAGGGTTTCCACTCTCTCTCTGTGTCTCTCTCCCTCCCTCCTCCCTCTCGTGCGCGCTCTCTCTCTCTCCACGGTTGGGTTTGGAGGAGGGGTTGTGGATGGGGAGGTGTGGAGGGGATGTGGAGGGGAGCACACGCATGACGCATGACGCTGATATGCGTTCTTAACGAGCGCGCTTAGTGTAATGTGGAATTAGGAATTTTATTGTCGCGAATCTTTTTAAATAAAGAACAGAGCGTGCGGGGTTTTTTTTGTTATTGTTGAACGTTTGTGTGCGTGCCGTTAATGGACACATTGGGATAATAGTGCATTCCGTGGCTTAGACGCGCGCGTACAATGCATAGGAAGGCGGTTAAAGACTGACAATAGAACCACATTGATGTTACGCGAGTATTCAAATCAAAGGTGCTCGATACGTGTTACGACTTGAATGCGGGCTATAGCATTGAACGATTTGATAATAATTTCCACGGCCCCTTTTGTTAATCCACCACGCATGGTCTGTGCGACCGAGTCTCGAGGTTGATTTTTATGAGGGGATGTTTGGCCGATTACATTCATGAGCGTTTGGCGCGTGGGATAAACGCACGCGTAGCGACCGGAGAAATTCCACGAGGCACACGGAGGCATATTGGACAAAGATCCGCACAGATGTATTTAAGAATCCACGATAGTACTAACATCTTCTGGCTGGCCAGCTTTCATAAAAGCAACGGACAACCTCTGACCGTGTGACCGCCTCGTCCACACAATGCGTATATTGCATTCACTCGGCGCGTGTAAATACTTAAATCGTGACATACACCACGTGGAGGTTTAAAAGCACACGAGATCGATGGCCATTCTGACATTTTATGATAGCTGATTGTGTGATAAAAACCCAATAGAAAAACGACATCGATTTCGCCCCCCCTCCCCCCCCCCCCCCCACATTGCGTGTCCTCCTGGCTGCCCCGGACATAGGGGGGACGGCGGTGGGGGAGGTGGGGGGAGCAGTGACACAGCAAGGGGGCAGCCACGCGCTTCCCTCGGACCGCCAGCGCTGCCCGCGGAGACTTCGGGCGCCGCTGGCGTTGCGAAACTTCACGGTCCCTTCTCGATCTCACCCGGGACAGTTTCCCACGCGTCAGCCAGCAGGTGTCCTAGACGTGGTTTGATAAATAGGTGCCCAGGTAGGCGCAGACGTGTTGTTTATTGCTCTGATGTATAAATATTTCATTTAACATACAGTACTGTAGATACTGCGTAATGTATTCCAGTGCATTTGATAGATATTGTATACTGCATGACGTGTTATAGTGTATTTGATGGAAATTATACGGTATACGGCATAATGTACCCGAGGGCATTCAATATACGTTATATGCGACATCATTTATCATAGTGCAATTAATATACATGATATAGTGTATAACGTAACTAGTGCAATTCATTTACATTATATTCCGTGCTGCATAACGCATTCTCGTGCATTTGATAGACATATTCTGCATAATGTATTCTAGTGCAATTAATATGCATTACATACGCATAAAGTATTCTAGTGCATTTGATAGACGTAATGCTTTATGCATCCTAGTGCAATTAATACACATTATATACTACTTAACATTCCAGTGCATTTAATATAGATTATAGAGTACTGCACTGCATAACATATCTAGTTCATTTGATATACATTATTTACTGCATAACGTATTGAAACCCATTTTATATACAATACATTATATTCTGCATAACGTGTTATCGTGCATTCAATACATACTCCTGCAGATCACAATGTTACGTAATTAATTTGCACCAAGAATGGCGATGTCATCTGGAGATGAAAAGCGTGCTCCGATTCCTGTTCGTGACATTTTTCTCACGTGTATATTATCTACGTCGAAACACGCTCATTATTAGGGCTGTCGCATATGAATCCCATGCGTCATCAGTTAAATTGTGCAGCTGTTTGAGTGCGCAGGCGGTGCAACTGGACCTGCGAAGAGAGTGGGGGGGGGGGGGGGGCTGGGCGGGGGGGGGGTGCGGTGGGCCTTCGATAAGGGGGGCCCAATTTCGTTTCTTGCAATAGGGGCCCAAGCCAACCACGTTCACGCCACTGCACATCAGTAGCCTGGGCCACCGGTAATGTGAGTGTGAAGCCACGTGGTGGGGGGGGGGGGGGGGGGGGTGTTGAATCCGTTGCAGCTGTGCAACAGATTTTGTTACCATTATACATTACATTCAATTCCGGCCACGTGCAATTCGTACACGAGGATCTTGGGAGATTGCGGCGAGCACCTCGATAGGTACAAGAAATTGTTTGCAAGGTGCGGCGAGAATGAGATGAGAAAAGCAGTTACAGCCGCTGAATATACGTGAGGTTGTATCCTGCTGTTGTGTGGCGACTGGCGTAAGAACCCACAAACCAAGGGGAACATTCCACTCAAGGGTTTTCATGTACTCTACAAAATGAAACTATACACTTACCGCGAGTGTGCTTACATCAGAGTTTTGCTATGTGATAAAGTAATGAACATGGCATATGGATGTTAGAAATGAAAAATAGTAAATGTTTAGTTTATTTTCCTGTCTTTATAGGTATCTATAACGATCCTCTAGAGGGGATCTCTAGCGCTCCGCGCGCCACTATCAACCTGGCAGCCTGAGTTAAATTCCCATCCATCAGTGGCGAGTGATATCTGCAGCAGTTGTGCCCCTCCCAGCCCCTTCACCAACCTGCACTGACTCTTTCGATGTACAGGGTGGTCCAGATGACCCCCATTGAATTGTCTAAAACGTAATATTGTTGTATACAATGGATGTGAAAACAGAAATGAATAAGCAAAGGAAAAAAAATAGGAATCGATTAATGGGGGGGGGGGGGGGGGGTGGTCACAATACATATGGACCACGTTGTACAGTACGGCCAAACAGATAGGCCTTCATCCAGCAGTGGATTGACGCAGGGCAATATATAAATACATGGCATGATGGTATCCACACTTTCATCATCTTACCATCACCACCATCTAGTGTTTCATTTCAGCCGGAGCAGCCCAGATCAATGCTCAATGAATGAATTTGGCACGCCACATCTAACTCACTTCATATTTTCTTCATCATTTGCACCAGTTCGCAGGCTAATATGACTACAGCGTACAATAATACAGCATTATAATACAGGCTAAGTATGGATAGGCTAAACTTGCACTCTAGTTTTAGTGCCTTATGCCCATAATCCCTCATCCAAGACAGCCTAGCGGCGTTCCTTGAAATGCTGAGTGACAAGTGAAAACCCCTGCCACCCTCCCTGCGTGATTCGATCGCCGCTCACCAGCCAGCGAGAACCAATTACCAGATCACAATTGCATCATAATTGCATTCAGCTTATGCAGAGGTATAAGCTCACCTCTCAGCATGTGAACATTATTATTACATTCTTAATTAAAACAGGTTAAGGCCGCTGAGCCATGCGCTCTGTTTGAGAGGCGACCTTATCATACGTGGGAATTCAAATTTGAAGCCAAATAATCTCAACACACCGTTCGAAATAGTTGAGAGCAAAACCGGAGGACCCGGAGAAAAATCAATCCGACTACCGCGGGGGCGAGATAGAGCGAGAGATACGAAATTCAAAAATGCAACAGGCATCGTCAGGGTCGGGATCTGAATCCAACCAGTGCCGGATTATCCTCGTGGCAAAAGTAGATACACATATGCTATGGTTGAGTGATTCTGCACTTGCTCTATTACTAAAGTACGATACTGCCTTGAACTTTGATGAACGACTTGGTGTTTAAGGTTAGCGATTTGACGTATTATCTGGCCGTATAGCAAATGAAAAAATACAATTACTTTACTATACAAGTTCAAAATTAGTTTAGTAATATTTACGTGTTTTTTGTATTTAGTGTCCCTTTATAACATGTGCTAAAGGCCCCGCACTAGCTTAATCCCACGCACTCCTGCATAGCTGGCGAGGGAGATTAACATCTCGCCACCACGCCCCCCCCCTATCTTATCTCCACCGTACTCTCTAAAGCCATTGACACGCTGCTCTGTGTATACGGAGGCCGCGTTAATTGCCGCAAATTCAATCGGTCGCTGCCGAAACGTCAATAGCTGTTTGCGGTCCTTCCTGCGGCACCCCGCGCAGTGTGTATGCGTTGAACTTCTTTCGCACCCTACGTATCCAACCGTGCTAATCGGGTGGGGAAGCTTGCCCTGCCACCCCACATTGTCCCAAGCAGAGGGGTCTCCGTGGGCGCTTGCAGATCAGCAGGGCAGCACAGGGGACTCGGTCGGTTGGCTACGTTGAGCGAATTATTAATCGTTCTTTAATTTGCTTCTGACAGCACCTCCCCCCCCCCAATCCATTGCTGGACAAGGGCCTCCCCACATACAACCACGTGGGGTCCTTTGTAAGCCGTTACCATTGGCGTCTCGTGCTGTGCGTGAAGCGTTGATGATGTTCAGGGCCACCGTAATTGTCACGGTCTGTAATTGACTACAATCCGTCACGTGTAGCGTCGTGCAGCCCCTTCCATCAGTCCACTGCTGGATGAACGCCTTCCCGTACCGTGCAGAGATAGCCGGGGGTTGGTGGGTAGGGGGCGGCGGAGGGAGCTATTTGACCATACTTCACCGCGCTGGTCAGTCGCCCGTTGGTGACGCTGTGGGGAGCATAGACGTCGCCGCGTGGACGACTCGAGCAGACGCTGGGATTTACTGCCACTGCACTTGACTGCTCACCACGTAGCCCCGCAGGTGCCTGTTGTGTCACCGTTGTCATCCATCCTAGTACTATCTAGGCTCTCGCCTGCTTAGACTCCGAGATCTCATGAGATTGAGCGCGCAGTTCAGGCAATTTAGTCATACGCGCTATTTCCTTATTCATTTCACAAATCTCATTCCCACAGGCTCGCCGGCACGATCGCATTGCACGGAGGAAATTCCACTCAGAACTCTGGCAGGTAGCAGCGAGCCAACCCTGTTAGATAATAACTCCAGAATATAGTGTCCCAGGACTAACTCTCAAGCCCCTTCTATCCGCCTCTTTTATGCCGTTCAA